TATATATATATATATATATATATATATATATATATATATATTTAGTATAATTTCAGAGCTGAGCAAAGAGTTTCCAGCAATCTGATTGGTCGAGCGGTTCCTTATATGACGCTATATAAACCGCTCCGCGCGGTTTATATAAAATGTTAAACTAAAATGTTAATAAATGTTACTAAAATGTTATGATTTTAGAGATTTCTCTTTTGTTCAGCTCTGAAATTATACTAAAACAATTATTCGCCTCAGGTTCGTTGAATATTGTCGAATAATCCCCTCGACTTCGTCTCGGGGATTATTCGACGATATTCACCTCGCCTCCGGCGAATAATTGTTAAATATATGTGTAAGGTTTCAAAGATGGAGAGAGGAACTTTTCTAGTAAAATATGCCTGTCGGGAAACGAGCGGTATCTTTAAGTGGGTCTTTCACCTGTAAGACAGATAATATAAAATTGGCTCCTCCAATCAGAAACATTCTTACACCTGATTTATATCCCATGTCACAACTTAGGATCGTATTTCATCAATAGCATTTAATATGCTTGTTTAGAGGCTAGTCATCATTTATTTCCCGGTGGGGGCGGGGATGGTGGATTTTGGAAGAGAACGGAGGGGGATCTGTCGTCGCTAACAGAATATAAAGGGGGGGGCTATTTTAAATTGACTGCCAATTAAATGCTTTTGAGTGGGGAATCATTAGAATATTACAGTCTTATGGGGAGACCGGGTCAATTTTATCGTGACACAATCTAAAAATCTTCCATTGCCGGCGCGTTTGGCACGTTGGAAGACATGGTTCGCAAACTGATCGACCTCGACCTAAAACGTGTGAACCCCTACAGATGGTCAAAGTCTTGTGCGTCATTCAAGATGCACAAACCCCCTAGGGATCCTTGCAATATTTCAGTTGGTTTGTCACACATTCCTCCCAATAATATTTGCGTTTAGCGGCTATTCGAGATCAATGAAGGCGCGTGATTTCCGCTCAGATCGAAGAGAAACCGGAACTCAAATAGATCAAATAGGAAAAACCAAAAACTGCATCGGATATCAAATCCGAAAACCCGTTAACATTTTTCGCGAAAACCGAAAACCAAATGCTTAAAAATGAAAAATCCGCAAGCCGCAATGAATAGCAAAACCGAATAACCGACATTTTTTAGCACAAAAACCGAAAAACCCTTCTTAAAAATAGCCAAAACCGAAAATCTCAATGCCCCCCTCCGTGCATAACTCTTTTTGTTAATAAACGATCATCTTGCCATCTAATTTTACTTTCACGTATTTGGATCAGATTCAATTAATTTTATGACGGTAAATTTTGTCAATGTGACTTGAAAGTTCCGTCGTTAATTCGATAATGTCTAAGATTTTCCCTTAATTTGAATCAGATGCGTGACTCGTCAATCGCATCATATTTGCCGTAGAGTGGACGCTGCCTTTTAAGACTGTAAGGAAACAATGTCTGTTTATTGCGGAAATATTAGTCAGCTGTGATTCTTAACTGAGAACTTTTCGTTTCATACTCTGCGTTTTAATTTAGCATTCTTAAATCCTTTGAAACTGGAACGGGTAATTTAACGTGCCGCAAAGTTTTTTCGAGTCATTCTTCTATTCGACAGTTATTTATTTTTTATTAACCTAAAAACTGTTCTGAACCGTCAATCGCAGTATTCTCCAGTTTTCCCTAGAGGCGGCATTTCTGATGGCTTTAATCTTATCGTGCAATCTACCGAAGAAACGGCAGTAATTTTAATTTTTAATCACTTGAAATGTCTTAGAAAGACCGCCCCGGACATGGCTAACTCGGTATTTCAGTCATTAGTAAGTTGTTTTTCCCGCAATTGCTCGATTTAATTATACTTGACTTAAGGGCCAGCCATACACTGCACGTCTCGAATTGTTTGCGTTTAAATCGAGTGTAGAGTTTTATTTTCGGTTTGAATTAGTCAAGTTAGAGCGGTGAACCTGTACCTACATCTGTGTTGAACTGAGTTGCCGACAAAAGGATTGCATGATCACCTTAAGAGCTGAGCAAAACCAAACCACGATTTTCATTGTTTGCATCTCTTATCCACGAAACTCGCAGTGTTATTCTTCACTGAAGAACTCTGATGTGTCCAATATCGGCGATGTCTTTGCTGCTAAGTGAGCGTGGCTTGAAACTATCCGTGATTCGTGATCCGTGATAAAAGCGTGATAAGCGTACCCTCTACGTGATGAACTTTGGAGTTTGGGGAATAGCTTTGGCGTCCTTCTTATTTTTGGCACCAGGTTTTATCTTTGTAAATGTTGGATTTCGCTGCTCAAAGCTGTTTACAGCGAAGGAAGAAATCTTGTCGAAGTCATACTGTATGAAAGTAGATGAAGAATTTTCTTACGTTTTGATAGGTGGGGGCTTTATCTTCCTGTGTTTCTCTCTGGCTACTATGGTTTTCACGGTAATTGTGTATTTCAACTCGAGGCATTCGAAAAACATTGAAAAAGAGACAGGCTCGACTGCAGAAATATATATCGTTTGAGATGCAGACTGAGCGGGATGGAACGGCAAGTAACTACAAGTGTTCCGGCCAAATCGACAAATTGTTTATATGGCAAAACCTCGAATTTTTTATTTCACTGGGAAACAAACTTGAAGTTTGTGTGATATCTTTCACATTGTGTTGGTCAAACATGATGGTTTTGTCATTGAACAGAAGTAAAACACTTACTGACAGTTTCCCTTAACTTCAGCGATCTGTGAACAATTTTGTCGTCATAATATTTTGATTTATGTTGATTTGTACTATCGATATAATGTGAAGTATTTTGCATGCGGTATTGTTTTTGAAGCCTCTATTATCCGTGACTACTCAGATAACATCAGAATATATCGCAGCGATTTTTCTAAGCTACCCTGGCAGAACCCCACAACTTGCGTGTAAGTAAAAGCAATTTTGATTTATTGCTATCTAAAACGAGGGCTCAATTTGGTTTGTTGAATTTTTAATATCCAATTATTTTTTGAAGTTATTCTCTAATGGCTTGATAATTTTGATTTTAACGGCCAGCTTTTTTATAATACTTGATTCTTCTCTAAATCAAAGTAGTTTGTTAGAGCTATGAAAAAAATTTCAAGTACACTCTTGCGCGAAGTAAATGAACTTCACGCAATTTCATTAATTTTCAAGTGAGTTTTGTATCATTTTTTCCGCAACTCATCCGTTTGAAGTATAAAGAAAAACTATATTTGAGTAAAATGTACTGGTAAAAACAGGTGTCATTTAGAACAACGTTGTCTTTTGTGTTTTATTGTCAATCTTTTTAATGAGCGTAACGATTTGGAAAGCGTTCTCCCTGGTATTCCTTTTTTTCAAAATAAGCGGAGTTTCTGAAAGGCTTCCAATGACAATGAATCATGGTAGGGGACGAAGAAGTTCCGACAATCAACGAAGTTTACCGATGACGACCCTCGCTTTTAGAGATCGTAGGAGAAACACATTCAAAGCTAGATTCCGCAGAGGGAGGGCATGAGAATCCATCAACCCAACCTCACCTCCCCCCCTGCGCGCGTAATCAGAGCTGTGGGTATTTTTTCTTCTTGTACGAAACGTAAAATCTTTCAAAGACGTGATCGCATATCGCACAAAATGTACTCATTTGAATATTTTTTGGCCTATAGAGGCTTAAGTGTAAAAAATGAATATTTCTGAATCCGCTGTGATCTATATGAGAGGTTTTAGATCCACGTTTGAAGTGTTAACCGCAAACGTCTGTGTTTAATGTTTAATCACAGTTCGTAACCATACATAACTGATACAAATGAACTAAATACTTAAAAAAAAATGCATATATAAACAAACAAAAATACAAAAATGGTTGACAGGGTGGTAGTAGGGGGAAACCAAATTCCCATGCTAAGACATATCCTCCAAAAATAATAAAGCATAAACTTATATTAAAGACATTATGCCTAGTATTACAGGAAAATTATGAGCATAGGTACTTAATCAGTGAAATTTTAAAAGACTAGACGCTAGGAGATGACATCACATCAGAAGGCAAAGAGTTCCAATCATTAATATATCTATAAAAGAATGAATATTTCAAATATAATTTGTACGGGCAACTTTCGGCCTTATTTTGTACTCATGCTTACTTCTAGTACGAGTTATTCCAATAATTTCAAATTACTGATGGCAGTTGATATCACAGTAACCAAATATAATCTTAGACATTTGAACTAGGCTAAGATATTTCCTTCTCAGTTCTAAAGAGACCCAATTTAACTCTACAAGTCTTTCAGGATATTCTTTGTCAGGGCCACATATTAGTCGGGACGCTCTTCTCTCAATTGCTTCGATTGCCTTAATGTTCTTCACCAGATAAGGGTTCCAGA